TATATATATATACTTTTAGTCATAAATATTTCTGATTATATATAGGCGACTTTTTTCTTCAAAGTTGATTTAATTTCCTGTACAAGAAAAAATATGAAAATTATCCTTTTAATTATTTTTCATTTTCTCATTACTGTTACATCATTTTTTTTTTATCAAACAAATTTTACAAAAGAAAGAAACTAATAATATGAACTAATATTCCAGCGAGAAATATTAATGGAATCGACATCGAATCTGTTTTTCTTTTATTATAGATTAAAGTATTGATTAACATTGGCAAAAATATATAAATTTATCCTGATAACCAAGCGTGCGACTTCCGCACAAAGTATCAGTATCATACTGTTACTGTACTGCCACGAGATGGCGAGGTATGGCGTAAGTGTATAATAGTAGTACAAAAAGTGTACATGATATTACAGTACAGCGTATCGTCATAGTACCTGTAATGCATATTGTTCAGTACATATTGCATATTTAATAAATATATCGTATCAATACGACATACACCTGAACATCGTACATGAAATAATAACGATAAAATTATTAAATTTGATTATATTTTTAACTTTTGAGTGTATTTTGTAAATTTGCCTGTGCTTTATTATGAGTTATTTGTATATATATTTATGACAAATTATAGTTTTTTTTATAGATATAATTAATATATTATAATTTTATTTTAGTCATGCGATGTCAGCTGACCATTTTTTGTATAACGGGTATTTTTTGTAATAATTAAATAATAGAAATAAATGTTGTGATTTACAAATATACCAATGTTACATTTACATATTAATAAATTTTTTAATTATATTTGCAAAATATGATTATTTTATAATTATAATGCGCATGCGTATTCACTATGCGTATTTCTTCGATGCGCTCTTTAATAGGAGCTCCGAGTACATTTTTGCGCATACACAGTACAATTATAAAATAAATTTGTTTGCAATTAAGAAATTTATTAATTTGTAAACGTAAAAATTAATATACTTATAAGGCACAAACAATTTTCTATCAATTATAATTTATCTGTTATCACAAAATCTGTTTATTACTATAAAACTAATTTTTGTCACAAATGTTAAATGTTAATAAACTGAAAGTCGTAGTACATAAAAAAAACTTAAGCAGTAAGATTTAAAAAAAATTGGGTTTATAATCCGTTAACTTATGCCGGAATCGTAAAAAATTGGCCAATCACAATTGAATGTGAGAAAAATAATCGATTCTGATTGATCAATTTTTTACAGATCCGACATAAGTAAACAATTATGGCATAACATAAATCAGTCTGTACTGTTTAAACTTTTTTATGTGTCCTGCTCCTTATAATCAATCACAAATGATTTACAAACAAAATACACTCACAAGTTAACAGTAGCATCGCTGATTTTGGTAACCTTTGAATATGTTGTAGCAAAGTGAAATAGAGACACATATTTTTTTTTATATGTGCCCATATGGTTGTTAAGGGAATGAAACACTCTTTTGAAAAAAAAAATTCGAAAAAATAACATTTTCGAAAAATCTGATTGTACTAAACTTAAACTTGAGATGTATAACGTACATAAAACTTTTTTTATATCTTTTACTATTTCAACTGTATTTGCTCAGAAATATAAAAAATCAATTTTTTCAAGGTTTGACATTTGACTAGTATTACTTATCGGAAAAGTTAAATATAATTAAATTTAAATTTTATTTAATTTCTATTAAATTTGATTTCTGTCGACTATGTTTCATATAGGTTACAGTATAATGAAACGGATTGAAATCTAAAATAAACCCATAAATATAAATAATTAATATAATAAATAATTAATTAATTAAATAACTGTTTATTAAATTATTCTAATTTAATATTAATTTAACAATGATAATATTTATTTTTTAAATGATATAATGAGAGTTTGAGTTGCGATGCTGTTTTCATCAGAGTTTATCTCAGAATGGATTTTCTGTAGCGAATAATTGCTCTGCCATTGATGGCTACGCTGGAACTGTCTTGCCGAATAAGGCAGGCTCGAGTCTCTGAAAGATCAGATAGGCAGGAGTAGGCAGGATAACTGAGTTCACGCCACAATTTTGTTGTCCGACCGTCGCCAGCAACGTCTCGCGAAGTTCTGACTCGGCCACGTTTATTCTTGAACACACAATCGCTAATTCTAGAACATATCAAAGTGCAGGATTAACCGAACAAAGGCGCGATATTTACAACGATTAAAAACTAATATCATAGAACAAAGAGATCGAAGACGTACAATACCAGCAAGGGCACCGCGGACACGGAGGAACGTTCGAGAACTGAAACGCTAGAAACGAGAAATCGCAAAGAATAAAGGAGGGAAAGAACGCACTTGAAATGTATCGCTCGCAAGAAAAAAGTGGAGCGCTTGAAACGCACACTGCGCGTGTACGCGGGACGCTCGCGAAACGCTCGGATTAGAACGAGGCACGATACGGATAGAAAACGAGACGACACACAGACGCTAGCGAAACGGAACGCGGGCGCGGGTAAAACGGAGCGCACGCGGAAATTGATGACGGCACAATCACAAGTGTGAATAAAAACGATGGAATCAAGCGATGCGAATAAAACGCAGAACGCGGATGAGACGCATGCGGAAAAACGCGTGCAGAGACATCACTCGCGAGCGAGAGAGAAACACTCGGTCGACCGCTCACGAGCGAGAGGAGGAGTGACGCAATTCGGCGAGCGAGAGCGAGAGAGAGAGAGAACGCGCGAGAAAGAGAGCGAGATGGTAACAGGTCACGCGCGAGCAAGAGAGAACGAGCGCACGCATCTCGCGCGCAAGCGAGAGAGGTGGAGGCGCACAGAGTGTGAGAAAGGCAGAGGGCACCCGGCGCAACAGGTGTGGTCGCCGCACGTGGTCGCACGGAACCGGCAAGACGGAACTTGCGACACTGCACAGACTTTGACGCGTACACGACACTTCACACTGCACAGGCGCGATCACGTACCAGTCACGACACAGTGACACGTTGACGATGTTGATGCCGGAGTCTCTCTCCTCCTTTTCTCTGGCAGACGTGTGGCTGCTGCGAGTCCGATGATTGTCACAAAAAGGCCGCTCGACACAATGCGCGTGGTAATGGCCGACGAGAAAGAAAGCGGAAGTTACTACTCTAGTCGTGGCACCAGCATCTGCTTCCTCGGTGGACGGTGGCGCTCGACGGCGAGCGCGCGAGGCGGCGAAGCAGCGGCAGGAGGCAAGGGCGCCACATTTCTATTTTTTGGCGCGCAAGCGACGCGACAAGACGAGATTCAATATCTCATGTTGTCAATTGGCCAGTTATATACTAGACTCTTCTGATTGGTTAACTGTGTTAGTTGCCTTAAGTCGCAATATCGTGCGATGTGTGCATCAGGCTAGTTCCTCTCAGCGCGGCGATTTTGTTTTTATCATTCTTCTCGCTAACATTTTCTTATATTAGACGTGTTTCTCTTACTCTTGTAATTTTTCGAGTTATTATTTCAGAGGAATACGTCAGAATAAAAAGTAAAGAGTCATTTACATCCACTATCTGAGGTAGGTATAAATTTTTCATATAACAGTTAATTCGATAATATTAATTTTATCTTTCTTTGGATTTAGCTCGGCATCGTTTAAACTGTTGGGTTTAACCGTTAACGTAGTTTAAAACTCGATGTGAAATCTGTGATTAAAGCTATGAAAGCGAAAGAAAAAGTAATCTATATATTCTTATAAATAAGAATTTTTTTTCTCTAAAATTCGCAATGTGTGCATGTTACGTTTGTTTTTTTCACTTTCATAGTTTCAAGCATTCATATTCTCCTCAGAAACTTGTCACTTATTTCTTTTTCAATACTTACTTTTCAATACTAAAACCTAAATGCTAATTGCAATGCTTTTGAATTCACGTATGGTTACAAAATAATACTTTTGTCTCTTATAGATTACTTTTCCCATCAAATATTTTTTGATCGCATATACAATATTCAATAATATGTATGAATATATATGAATATCGAATTATCCGTACAAAAGAAACGGATATTTTTCATTGAATATCCTCATTGAATTTTTTGTCTGACCAAAATGATCGTCAATATTTCTTTGTAACTTTTTGAAAAGATTCTTTCTCTTTTCGGAAAAAAACTGTATTTTTTCTATAGAATTTTCCACTAATCTAATTTTTAAATTATTTTTATTTTAAACTTTTTATTAATAAAAATTTAATTTTTAATTTTTAATTATTTATTTTTAACATTTTATTTTAATTTTTTACCCAATTGTAAAATAATTTAATTTGGAAAAATATTTATTTTTTTTTGTTCTAAAATTAAATAAAATTAAATATCTTAAATATCTTTTAAATATCTTTTAAATATCTTTTGTCTCTTATTTCTTGTATAATAATAATTTTTAGCATATTTATTTACATGGAATCTCAAGATTCTCGCCTTTTTTAAAAGAACTTTTTTATTCTAATCCATTCATTAAGAAGAGAGTGGGTATGAGAGTGGTAGAATGAAAAGGAAGGGAAGATTAAATAGACATACTTAAAAATGAACAAAATTTTTCTTTCCATTTTTATTATTCATATGCTTAAATATTTTTATTATACTCGAAAAATAGTCGATTTTTTATGTTACGATGTCCATTTTGCGTCAATATGGTTTTTATTTTAAGCAAACGTTATATTTCTATCATAACAGTGAATATTTTTTTCTGCGTATTGTAATAGTAATTTTTCAACATTTTTCATTCTGGTTATTTTCCATCTTCTATCGTACAGATTTAACAAATTATACTTTCGTTAATTGCATGTAGATCTTCTGTGCATTTTTCTCATTGATTTATTGATTTTTTTTCAAGATTTGATTTTATTGTTCAATCTAACGTTGCTGCAAGAGTTCTTTAACTTTCTTTTCATTTCTTTTTCTAAATTTTAATTTGTAATACTGAAGACATGTTTAATTCTTATCATCATTCATTGGCTATAATTTTGTTTTTAATGGATACTATCCTTTCATTTTTGATTCATTAATAAAGAATGCTTCTTTGTTTAAATCAATTAATTTCGATTCACAGTTTATTTTATCAAGATCCAATTAGAATATCAGTTTCGCTAATTATCTGCAAAGACAATTGGCGAACAAATTAATATGTTTATTTAATTATATATATATATATATATTTTCATACTTCACACAATTTTATTCTTAATTCACAGGTTAGATTGCTGAGATAATTGCAACAGACAAGGTAATAATTAATTGCAAGTATCATATTTATCTTGTTTTTATTTATTGAGTATATATAATTGCTTTCCAATAGATTTTTGATATTATTTTCTTCAATTACTTGCAAGCACATTACATAATACATAATTTAATTCTTACGTTAATACATAATTTCATTAATATTACTTTTAAGATTTCATTTCATTATATATTATTGAATTTTAAGTTGAAGAAACTTGTGTTTTTTTTGTTTACATTTTTCCATTTCAGATTTCATTTACTCTTTCTCCAGTTATTTTTTCATTTCCTTTCATTTATATTTTGCTTCATCGATATGTTGCGTTTGGCGAACAGGCGCAGCCTTATCATCTACTGTCTGCAGTCTATCGTCGTCGTTTGGAAAAATTAAAGAGAGCTGCGCGTAATGAATGTCTACAACAGCAGAATTTAGATATTGCTAATGTTAGAGTTGATTCAGACTTCGTCGACGAAGATCAAATTTTTGCGGAATGCAATTAGATAAAAAAGATGAAACTTTTGTACCTTCTGATGCATCAGCTGAGGATGTGCAATTTGCTTTTAATGATGAGGCTTTTAATGATTAAGTTCTTCAGATGCTAAATCCATTTTAGGTTGTAATGATGCGATAGATTTTGAGCCTCAAAATACTATTGATAATTTTTAAGGACGTCTTGCTGAAGTTTTCGTACGCAGTAATATGTCTCATACGCAAATAAATGCTCTTTTACAGGTTGTCCGAACACATTCTTGTTTATCCACGTTGCCAAAGGATTGTAGAACGTTTTTGAAAACTCCACGGATCGCGCATCCCATACTTAACATTGCAGGAGGTGAATATCTCCACTTAGGATTTGAAGCAGGAATTCTTTCCATTCTTCAATAAACCTCTCCGGAACTAATTCCACTTGATATTTTGATGATAGACTTGAGCACTGATGGTGTCACTGGATAGACAGGGCAAAATTCAAATGTGGCCGATACAAATTAGGATTGCATATTCCTCGAAGTAAACCTACAATTGTAGGCGTTTAGCGAAGTTCATCGAAATCAACTAACGCGAAGTAATTATTTCAATCTTTTGTGGATGAAATTCGAGATGTATTAAATCGTGGAGGAATTATTTTTCATAATCAACAAAAACTGATTAAATTGAGGTGTTTTATAGCTGATTCTCCTGCGCGGACTTTTATTTTAGGTCACGGTAGTCTATTTCCGTGTTCGAAATATTGGATTCGAAGAAATTGGCTTCGTCGTGGAGTAGTTGCTTATCGTGGTATTCAAAATATAATAGGCCCCGTACAAATGAAGAGTACAAACATCACATTGAGAACATCATACAGATTTTGATTTTGCTTTGCTTCTTTTAGAGATAGAGTTGGTAACTCAAACGGTCTTCGACTACATGCACACAGTTTGTTTTGGTGTCGTTCCCAAAATAAATAGCGTTCTTGTCGATGGTAAATGTAATCCAAATTTAAAACTTTCAGTCAGATCACTTGAAATTATAACGAAACATTTGCAGCAAGTTAAAAATTACTGTCCTAAGGAATTTTCGCGAAAACCGCAATTAATGAAAAAATATGAAGGATTTAAGGCCACGGAAAATCGTCAACTTCTTTTGTATACTGTCCCAGTTATTTATTACGGACTCGTAAAACTTATTGTGTATAAACATTTTCTTCTATTACATTCCGCCATTCGAGTTCTAGTTAGTTCTTCCTTATCGGAAGACTATCTTGATTTTTGCACAAACAGCATTAAACATTTTTGTGAATAGAACAGAATATATATATATATATATATATATATATATATATATATATATA